GTTGATGTTTTTCATGATGATTCCAACGAACGCAGTCAATGAGGAAAACACCAAATGTATTTGAATATCCGAACAAATCTTGTCATGTAAAGGTCTGGAAGCTGGCTTGAGCTGAAGCAAATCTATAATAGATCTGCTCCAATCTGTGAGGGGAAAAAAACAACTTCTGAGTAACTGGTACTTTCTTAAAGACAAGCCTTTGAAGAAACTGCTTTTTGACCTGGTAAGTGTGAGAAATTTAGGTTTTGAAGCTCCTAATTATGGATATTATATGTTACAATGTGTTTACTTATGGAAGTTTAGACTAAGAAATGTGTTTGAATGTCTGTGTGATCAGGTTTGAGGAATGTGCTGGAGCGGGGGTTGGGCAAAGTGTCTGCTTGAGGTGTTGGAGAAGAATAATAGCCCAAGAGCCAAGGGGGGTTGGAAAGTAGCTCCTTGAGGTGTTAGAGGTGTCAAGAGCCAAGGAGGGGCTTGTTGGACTTCAGCCAATCAATGAGCTGATCGATGAGCTGAGAGATGAAACTTTGAGGGGACAAGGGGTTTGAAACTCTGGGGGATTTCAGATCTTCTGCTGGCCACCGAGGAGGCATACCAGCCTCCTGGGTGGCTCGGATTGGATCTCACATTTCATGGAATTTATGTTTGTTTTGTTATTAGTAGTGTGATTCGGTTTGTAACTGTTTGTATCTGTTTTTATGCTTCTTGGATAATAAATCCATTTGATTTTGACTTAAACCTGCTGTTGTGTTTTGGAGGTGATTGAGAGCACATGGCTGCAAGGGGGGGGGCAATTTCTCCCTGTGTCCAAAAGTTATGGCCATAACATAAGCGATATCAATCTGTCCGACAGCATTAATTTGTTTTCATAATTCCCCAGCCTTCAGCTCCAAAGCTTTGGGATGGCCTTCCACATTCTATCAAATTAACGCTTTTAAAGCAAACCTCAAATCTTATTTCCAATGGCCTTTAGTTGCTCTCAATGGTTTTAATGTTTTAATAGTTTATTATCTTTTTTAATTGCTCTTCCAAGTTTTGCTCCGTTTCTTTGTTAGATTTCGGCAGCTATTATAATATTGCCTTGTATTTTTACATTACATTCTATTGCTTTCGTTGATGACATTTTACTCGCCGTTCACTTCAACTTGTAAAGCCCTTTGGTCGACTCCGGTTGTTGTTAAATGTGCAATATCAATAAACTTGACTATAAACACGATATATTTAAGCTGTTGTGATGTGCATTATAAGGTGTTCAGGTAAGGTTTAAGCACCTCATCTCATCAGAAATATTAAATATAGAAGAGTCGCAAAGAATTAATAAATAAGCAAACAAAGCGAGCTTTAAAGAGAAGTGCTGTGGTTCATTGTAAGTCTTACAGAATGATGGGATATTCTTCCGAGTGAGGTAGAGCCTGCAAATGTAGAGTTTCCCCATTTTCCTTCTACCTTTGTCTCCCGGGATGCTGCAGTTTGTCAAAGTGAGAGGACAGTAGGACACAGGAGGCCAGCAGGGTAAACAGCAGAAATGTCTGGTCGGGTATATCAGAGCAGTTGCTGCAGTTGCTGGCCCTGGAGACTCACTCACTGTCGTCCAATGCAATGCTTCAATTCCCCAAACTGATATTCAGTGAATCTCTCCCCAGCCTTCAGTGTGCATCGCCCCGATTTTCCTGTGTCCTGGACGGAGTGAGTCACTCAGCGACGGAAATTAAAGAAACGAGAAACATGGAATTACACTCCCTCGATTTGGAAAGTAGGTAAACGGAAGGTGCAACTGCGAGCGCGTCGGCTGAAACATTAATGTGATGACGCTGGTGATGCGAGTGGACTGCGAGCCAGTTACTGGAGAGCAGCTAGCATTAGAAAAACTCTCCATCACTGTCAAAATGCCTTTGAGCAAGGCACCAGATGTCCAGCCGCTCCAAGGTCACTGTGCTAAGCGGTGTATTTACGCGCAAATGGAGCATGAAGTACTATTCTAGTCTAATGTAGCACGGCTAGCATCCGAACAGTGAAGATGACACACGGCCAAAAAGCTGGCGAGGTAGTGAATAAGTAGTGCAGTATTTTGACCAGACACGGTGTCCTCTCAGGACTATTGACAAATATTCTCATACATCACTAATAAACCAAAGACTGGAGGAGAATGGACTGAGAGGACTGTCTGTGTCACCCTGTAGCAGCGTAGGCGGACTCGGAGCACAAGCTCATGCCAGGCTGAGGATTACTACCTCCACTCCATACACACACTAATTCAAAGCTCAAAAGCTCTCTATTAGATTAAAAACCACTTTCTCTGTCACCATGAGCCAGATTGCAAGGTTTGTTGTGTGTGGTTTTGTTTTCTTTTTGCTGTCCAGATCCTCTTCAGATCCCAATTCCTGGTTCACGTTGTTTCGCTGTGTGCTCTGTTCAGTGTTTTGAGAAATAATTCTGAGCCAACCATGCATCAAAGATCGACAAGAGAGACGAAGACATGTGAACTGAATCAAGAGGAGGTGAGCCTGGACTGACGGGATATTTTGTGTATCCCAAGTGTTGATGCCGATCTTGGATTTCCGAGATGTAAAGGATTGTGTGCCCAATGAATTACTATTTTTGAAAAGCTAATTTATTTGTTTTCTTTCTGAAATTAAGGTGTTGGTATCAATGTGTGCATTAAGTACAAAGCAGGAGTCAGTCATGTTTTGACTTGCTTGATGCTAAGTGGTGGGAAACAGCTAGCCTGGGCTTTATCCAAAACTCAAGAAATGTGACTAACAACGTTTTATGTGGGTTAAAATAGCAATACCTATTGTTTTAATATGTCAGCTTCAGAGGTGTTGGAGTGTGTGCTTTGGACCTTTGGAGAGAGTGAGGCTGGCCTCTTTCCAGCTTGTCTCCAGTCTTGGCGAACTACGTTATGTGATTGATATCAATCCCATCTTGCTCTCAAAAAAGGCAAATGACATTATTTGTCAAAATGCTAACCTATTCCTTGAAAGTGTTTATAATATTACATGTACCATATACTGCATGTCTGTTTTTCTATGTTTACATGCACAACACAACAATCCTATGGCATAGAGTCAAACAGCCTGGTCTCACTCTCAGGGCGTCGAATACAGACGGTTGGGCAGTGATCCTCGGCGCCTTGATGCCGAAGCACTACGACGGCTTTCAACTAGCTCCAATGTAAATCCATCCAAGTAATTATTTGACGTGACTTTTACTCAGGGGTCCGGCGTTTATGTCCCATGTGAAACCTAAAGTTGATTGACTTTTAAACTGTTACTGATGAAGACATGCCACACGATGTCGAGCCACTGAGTCATCGATGTTTTTTCTGAAGCTTAAGTGACGTTACAATCATACTTAATTTAAGTCAAAACCATTACGTTTTTCTTACCATAATAATCAATTAATTTTGTTGCATAAACTGCCACCGATTCACAACGATAACACGTGTTACAACATTTTCGTAACACGTAAATGCAAAAGGCTTCTGCCCCAAGCGGCAAAATATGACAAGTAGGCTTAAGTTTATAATAAGTCGAAGCATTATGTGTTATTAGTAATTCATTTAATGACAGTTTGACCAACTCTGATTTATTCTGATCATCAAATGTATGTATTTGTAATTTCCTTTCACAAAATTTGTTATATTTGAATGAAGACAAAGGCCTCATTCACAGTCAGCCCATATCTGATTCCCCCCCAAAAAGCCCATAAACACGATATGTGCATTGACACTTAATTTTCTCCAGTCTTCCATACACATTTTCTAAATCTGGCCCTCGAGTATCAAGTTACTGACGTTTCACAAGAGATTCAGAGCTGCTGTAGCTCAGTGTTTGCTGTCAGGATGTTGGGGCATAACATTTGCACTTTACTCTCTGGTTATGTGAGAGACTAGACTAGACTGTCGAAGTTTCTACCTGTTGTACTATGTCGTGTTCTCTTTTTTTAGAGCAGCTACACTGCAGATGTAATAAACTAAGTACTTGCTTTCATTATAGCACCATCTCGTTTAACGCGTTTAGCTTTAAATTAAATAGAGAGCACGCCTTAAAAAAAAAATTGTCATCACATCTGTAAACAACATTATTGCATTTGGATTACGTGAAACTCCGGGAAAGATAAACACACCAGCACACACTGTAGTAAACAACAAGTTATTATGCAAAGGGAAATCACCTTGTCATTGTTTGCCGAGCAGATCTGTTAGTAGGGTTACAAAAACAGCACGACAGCAAAATGCTCAAACTGTTTGATCGACACACTTCGGTCTTCAACATGATTTGAGCTCTAAACCAGTGCGGCTGGACTCAAACTGTGTAATTTGCTTTCGTGCCACCATCAAGGGATTCCACTTGTGATACTGCGCAGCTGATGAGTTTCATCTCCCAGAAACGTTGCTGCCAGCTATCCGACTCAATGTGTTTTCAAGATGTCATGTTTGGGGCCTTTTAGTCGTGTTTGTTTCCCCCGATGTAGGAAGCACCTGGATACACTAACAACACTGAATTGCTAAATGTATTTCTTCTGTTTTTTGTTTTTTTTGGTTGGTTGAATTTATTCACTGCATGCCCCAACATTAACAACTGTATACACATACAGTTGTGTGAAAAAGTGTTTGCCCCCTAACTGATTTCTTATTTTTTTGCATCTTTGTCACACTTAAATGTTTCAGATCATCAAACAAATTTAAATATTAGACAAAGATAACACAAGTAAACACAAAATGCAGTTTTTAAATGAAGGTTTTTATTATGAAGGGGAAAAAAAAATCCAAACCTACATGGCCCTGTGTGAAAAAGTGATTGACTTTGTTATCCCCTAACCTTAAAGTTAATATTTACCATTATTGTACTGACTTCCCCTGCAGCTGGGTCTTCAGAGAGAAGATTGAAATCAATTTAACCCTGATGAGGCCAGAAGAGGTTGGCCACTTTGGCGCAGCAGACTCAAAAAAAAAACAGAAAAAGTGGGGCTGCTCATCAACACGAGCTTCCCAAAGCTCAAATGGCTCGGTACTTAGGAGAAGTACGGCATCAACAGAACAGTGCTGACTACCCACTTTAGGTTTGGATGCGGCTTTGGATGACAGACTGGCGCCATTTATCTGGGGCCCAGATTCTCAGTCAGAGCCTCCTGTCCTCCCCTGTGATTTTCTCCTCCCCTTCTCCCAGTTAATAATGCTGCACATTATTTTCCCATGCAGATAGCCACAGAGCGTGAAATCAATTTAAGAGCAGAGGAGTCTGAGAACAAACTCAACTGGAGAGGAATGTCTGAATTTCAATATAGCGTTCAGTTCAACATGGAGTCCCTCACATGCAGAGAATGGAAAACTTCCGACCTTATGCACATCCTTCATGGCAGTGTCACCCATGCACTTGTCGAGTGCGTTGGCGGACAGGACCAGGATGAAGTTACGTGCCCGCTGTACGCTCTGGATCAGTTTGTCCTCGAATTTACCGGACTCCAGCTTCTCCACATCTATGAAGACACTGTATCCTCGAACCTGCAGGTGCACCTTCAGAAGACTTGGGACGGAAAAGGAAATGAGAAAGATGTAGTTTCAGTGCACATGCATTCTGACCTTGTCCATTTAACTCTTTGTGATTTTTTTCCACTAGTCCCGTTTCAGTTCTGACCTGGCCAGCTGGGAGCCGGTGGTCCGATGATAGCTGACGAAGACGTCGGGCCTCTGTGTGGCACGGTTTTAAGGGCCTGCGGTTGGCAGAGAGTATCCTGGCTCTGTGGACGCCGTTGTCTATGTGGCAGTCGTGTTGGAGCTGCAGATCGGTCAGGCTCTGGACAATGTTGCGATCCACGCCTGACTGGACCAGGCCATAGGTGTACTGACGGAAACGAGGGTCCACCATAACTAACCAGTCAGCCCATATTGTTTGGGTCACATGTGGAGTAGTTGGCATACGTCTTCAACACACGCAAGTCTCTCAAAAACCTGCAGGATTAGACAGAACAGAGTTATTTGTTAGACTGGTGTTATGCGTTGCTCATGTGTTGAAAGGTTTGCACTTGCGAGTGAGGCTTGCAGTCATGCCAAGATCAGCGCTCAGTTCCTGGTCTGTGATGTTCAGCAGGAGGTCTCCATCCACCTGGAGCTCCTATACAGCAAGATAGTTAGACATGTCAGACACTGTATATTAGCTGGACCTTTATGCCTGTTCTTTTTCTATTTGTTGAGTAATAAACTTTTAAACATACCTGGAAACGGTCACAGTAGGCACTGAAGCCAACCTGCTGCAGCCAGGTCAGCACTTCACAGGTTTTCCAGTTGGGCACACATGGCAGGATATGTTTCGGCACTTCCTCCCCCATCATGCTCAGTGCCCGCTTGGCTGTGCCATTACTGGAGTACATGACAATTCTTTTGAGGCTCTGCACCGCTCCGATCTCTTGAAATATCTGGAAAGGAGCACAATTTAAAACTCAGTCACAACAAAGCTACCAAACAGTATCACCTAAACTTTTGAGCGTCGTAGAAAGTGGACAGTGTACCTTAGTGTTGCGTTGACGAGACTTGATGCTGGTCTCAACACAAAGGTAAAAGGCTGCAATGCACTTTCCCTCCACTCTCGTGCCATCCAGTAAGGGCAAAAGATGCTGCAGATCAGCTGCTGTCTTACCCTGCATGCAGTCTGCACTGTCCAACAAACTGCGGGCAAAGTCATCCGGATCCAAAGAAGCAATGAATGGCTCCACCAGCTCCAAGGTTCCAGATTTCACCACCTCTTTCTCAATTTCTCGGTTTGCAGCTAGCACTGTCACAGCCAGACACGCGTAGAAGCGAATGAGTTCATCCTCTTTGGAAAAGCCCAGCGGGAAAAGCCACTCGGCTGCCTGTTTCTCGATCATCAATCGTTGGCAGCGGTGGCCTCCATACATGGCACAGTTTGCTAGTGCCACAGCACAGTGGGATCCGTACCTCGGCACCAGAAGAGGAGGGCATCCAGGGCACCGTTGGAGATGAGGTGGACGGACGTCTCCTCACTGTGCTTGAACATGTGCTCCAGGATCCCCGAGACGCTGCGAGCCAACTGCACATCTTCCTGATGTCGCGTCAGGTTGATATATAACGTTAACGTTACCGGCAGCTTGCTGCAGCAATATAACGTTAAAGGAAGATCCCCTTAAGAAATGTGACATGCACAGGAAAAAAAGATCTTTTCTTTTTAAATGCTTCATAACTGTGAATCAAAGCCTTTAAGAAGCAGCCTCAAGTGCTTCACTTGGTCTAAGCTTTCCCTCTGACACAAATTAATTCTTATGGTACTCCACTGCTTTGTATCCACCACGACCTGTGGTAATACCATTTCCAAAACGATATTAATGGGCATTATTCTCAGGTCAAGAAATTAGACTCAGCTGTCTTTGCACACAAATTTCATTCTGAGCAAAACGCTTACATTTTCCAGTACGCTCCCCTCCATTTGAATACATGACCATTCATATTGTGACATTCACTGCCCTGAATTGGGAATTGAAGACGTTTTAGTGGGAATAACAGCTTCTTCAAATACGCAATTAAGGATACACAGAAAAATTGTATTACCTTCAGCCTCCCATTTCTCTTCCATTATGCATCAGAAATATGTTGACACAAACCAAAGCAAAACAAGAAATGACTGGCAGGAAGCTTTTGAGCAGCTTTTGAGCAGCAATGTCTGGTAGATAAATGTCATATCAGTGTGTGTGTGTGTGTGTGTGTGTCAGGAAAACACTTTCTTTCCACCGAAGTTAATTCAAATAGTTGTTCTGTCCCTGTCTCATTTGCCACAAGCTGGACACACATGATATAGAATTTCAAATTTACTACAAACTGATGCGTCTACGATGCCAAAAAATGTGTATTGCTCACATTGTGTTGTCCTAATTTTGCAGTGTTGTTTCTAATGCTCAGCGATCCCCTCCTTGGATTTCAGACAAACACAGTGTTGATTCTCTCCATGAATATCAAACGCGGATGAATATTAATCAATTCCCCCGGCAAGCATCGACCAGAGTGAGAAGGGAGCCGAACTGTAAGATGTCACAGTGAAGAGCAAACATCCTGCTGCTCGTCAATCAAACGTGGTCTTCCATGTTTGAAAGAAAAAGCAATGTGCGATGTGCTTAGCTGGCACACAGCCCTGACCTCAGTCCTGATAAAGTAAAGATTATATTAATAAGTCTACCTTCACTTCACAAGAAAGTCAAAAAGTTTAAAACGTACGCAAGCCTCATTTCCCACCTTCCCTGGTTCTGTTGAATATGCTGAGGCAATCTCCTTCCGGAATTTCAGTTAACACCAGGGAGCCGGCTGGCAGGGGAAAATCTGTTCAAACTTCCATCAGACTGCAGATAGAAAGTGGAATCACACGGATTTTAAGAGGTGCTAAATTGTATCCATTGCTTTTAGAACAGCAGTAATGGCTAATAACAAACAATAGGCATCCTGTTAACACGCTGCTAAATTCTGTTGCTCGTAAAAAGTTTGAACCATAGGCGGAGAACCACAAAGGCTCCATAGGAAGAAATTCAGAATGCTGGATTTAATACCTTGGCTCTTTGGGGGGGTTGTACAGTGTGCAGAGGTGCTTACTGAGGGATGGACGCTGTGGAGTTGTCTGGCTGCATGGGAGACCATGCATGCTGCTGCACCCAGTGGGAAGCTAATGACCGATGCACACTAGCTACGCAACGAGGATCTCCAACACAGCTCTCCAGCTCTCTCTGGCAGAGGGGGATTTTCTCCAGTAATTGGAACTGAGAGTGTGGGTGCACATACCATTCTGGCGGGAGAATGGCTGATGTGAGATGTCATAGTTGGTGCAGGGATGAATACATTCCGAGTGTACTTGCGATGAGGTATAGCTTATCAACCATCTTTCTCAAGACACTGATAAATACATCTCATAAGAATACCGCATATTTTTACAGGTGCTAAATACAAGATTGGGAACATTTCTATTGCCTCTTAATGGCTCTCAACATGGCGGCGGCTTACTACGGCAAAAGTGCTAACAGAGGGTTAACGTTGGTGCTACGCGTTCACGACAATGCTGTTGGTCGGGACGGCGATATCAGCTGTAACCTCCGCACAGTACGAGTGTAGTGCGGAGTGGCTCTCTAGCCAATGGGGGCAGGCTCACATGCACTAAAAGCATGCGCAACCAACACAGCAAGGAGTAGCTTGGATTACAACACACACAGAGGGAGAGTGACTATATTCTCTGCTCAGGTACATTGCTCTACTATATCATTACATAGCAAATAATAATAATAACTTTATTTATACAGCACCTTTAAAAAAAAAAAACAGTTTACAAAGTGCTTTGGTAGACAAAGCAGCAAAAGCAAGGCAATAAAACAGATGTCAACAGTGAGGCCCAACACAGCAAGGCAAACTAAGATAAGACTTCATTCCTGATAAAACAGTACAATAGATGAAACGATAAAACCAATCAATACAATGAAAATTAACTGATAAATAAAATATATTAAAGTAATTTAGGAAAGTAAAAAAAGAGTAGTAAAGTGACGACAACACATAAAAGCCGGTCTGTAAAAATGGGTTTTAATAAAGTGATTTATAGGAGATTACTGATTTTGGAGCCTTTTTTATCTCCTTAGGCAGGTTATGGAACACACATAGTTGTTTGCTGCTATATTTATGCTCTGAATTTCATATTTAGCACCTTTAGACTATGTCTGTTTCATGTTATGTTAAAGGAACATTAAAAAGACTTCACCTCAAAATTTTCAATCTCATTTGTTGTTTGGCGACATGTTTTCATGTGAATAGCCCTGGAAGGATCATGTCTCACCGGTGTTGCATGAAAACGGAATTGAATCACTTTGGGGTTATGAATTAATAGAGTGGTTTAATTCGCTTTAGGCATAGTTGACTGCCCTATTGTTAGCTGTCCCAAGAGAACGATTGCCCAGGTGTGTTACGTGTGCAGAGCCAGGTACAAAAATAAGTTTGCGGCCGACAGCCACATGTATTACCATGCAGACAAGGACGCAATGTGTAAGTGCACACAAGCATGGTCGCCCAACACAGAGACACACAAAGGGGAAATGCTGCAAAAGTTTGTTTTTGTATTTTGCAGGGAGCCTTGACTTTAAAACAACAGTATTATTTTTTAATAATCTGAATGAAAGTGGTGGGAAACTGGTTGGAGGAACTATGTAAACTAACTCAGGCACTTTGGTGGGGGCCTTTAGTACATGAAGATGACATAGAAGGATTTACATAATGTGGGCTTGAAGGTAGTGTTGGGGAAATATCCACATGCTCACACAGCTGGAGATGGTGGCTGTCATTGTGCTTTTGCTTCACTCATTACTGGGAATTCCAGCTGTTTGGAACAATTACTGCCTTATTCTTAGCTAGTTATGATGTTTTTCTCCCAACATAGATCCATAATGGCATCAACAAACATGAAGAAAATAGAGCATTGCTATCTAGCTAACTATCTTAGCTACGAGTAACACGTGTGATTTTAACTTGGTTATAAAGTTCTGTGCATGGGTATTATAGTGCTATATCTAATATATTAGCGTCCACTTGAAAGAAATGACATACCTTAGCTTATGTGAAACTTCCACGTGTGGTTGCTTTTCCAGTCATTTCTGTATTCTGCTACAAGCCTGATAAACCAGAAGTTTCCCAGTCTTTGATACGACCAGACGATGTGAATGGTACACAGAATTTTTTGAAAACAGGTAATGACCTTAAGTCCCACATCATGTGAATGCAGCATATGAGGCACAGTAACGCAAGGTAGAATATACGTTTGCTGGTAGAAACCTACCTTTTCTCACGGCAGACCTTTTGACTTGTCACAGCAAGAAAAGCACAACAAATAACATTCACGATACTTTCTGTTTTTTTATCTAAGTGTGCCTGAAAGCCATGCAGTGAGTCAGCATGCACAATTGGTCCTTTTCACGGCAGCCATTTTGACATGTCACAGCAGGGTAAACACAAGTGTAATTGCGAAAAAAATTATCATGGTCTTGTTCTATTGAGTGTGTAACAGCCATTCCAGTGAGCCAGCATGCACGATACCAGTGCCCTAGCCCACCTAAATGGAACAGGCCCATAATTAATGTTATCAATTCCACCTGTGTTTACCCTGCAGTGACGTGTCCAAATTACTGCTGTGAAAAGGGCCTTTACCACAAATCTGGCACTGAACCACCCAAATGGAATACAGCCGTAATTAATATGATTAGTAACACCTGTGTTTGACGAGTCAAATAAATCCACTGGGAGAAAGGTCTACTGCAAGCTCGTTTTAACTACTCTCTTCCGAACAAATCTGCGGTGCACTGTGGACAGCTGATGAGTGATTAAACACAGGTGTGTTACCTTTATTACTGCAGATTACCGTGACGTTGTCCGTGGTGCGAAAAAAAGATCAACAATAAGCTCCGTCTTATAGAGTAAACGCAGCCTGCATTTTGTCAAACATTGTATTTTGTCTGTCAAAGAATCTTCACCATTCATCAAGAAATTACTCAATAAATACCTCCTACTCTAAATCTAATCCAGCCCTGCTCAGGCTGTGCAATTGGGAACTGTGCTCACAGTATTTATCAGTTTTCCAGAACTCTGCAGCTTCTGAATGTGTTCACATAAATCAGTGGTGGCCACAGATCTTTAAGTGCCCCGAGCAGAATTTCAATGAATTCGCAGAATATGAACAAGCACCAAGTACTTCACAGAACTATAACTGAGTCATGTTGATGGATGAGGAATTAAGTTGAATTACTAGCGCAATGTAGCAATAAAACAGAATATATAGCTTATACAACTGTATCACAGTGCAAGTTGTTGATCCCTCACATGATATGGCTATTCCTGAAAATACATGTTACTGTTTTTCTCAGTAAACTACAAATAGGTCAATGCCAAGCACTTATCAGGATACATTTTCAAAATAAATGCATGTCTTCACAGGAAGTTTAGGTTATCTGCACTGGGCTCATAAAGTGTTACCTTCCAGGTAAACACTGTTAGCTCTGTCAGGACTGTTGCTGTTGTTTGCACTGTTGTGCTGCTGGCACCGTTAGCTGCTAACCGCGATGGATGTATAAAGAGAATGCCGGCTCAGGCGACACCACATTGAGAGCCGTGTGGAGGCACTCCCTCGATCATGTATATGCTCTGAATTTCAAAATTCAGCAATGTGACACACATTGCCACCTGACAACAACAAATCAGAACCAATATGGCTAAATGTTGCAGAGCTTCCTGCATAAGGCTTATGAAACAAAAACACTGATTTCAACATACTTACCAGTAAAAAAAACAACTACATGCTTCCGAGCAAGCTTTTTCTTGATGGCTAACTGGTATATACTGGTTTTATATGCCCACCGCTTGGTAACAAGCAGTATACAATGATTGTAATACATAGACATACATGTGACCAGTGGGACTCGAGGCACTATGTTTACGCACAGAAGCCCTGTGGAGATTTATCCATTTGTATCTTCTGAAGAACAGGATAGTGGTGGGTGGTCGCAGTATGGTAGCAAAGAACTGACTGGAAATATAATTTTGAGCAACAGCCCCCATTGGCAT